CCAGGATCAGCATCCCCATCAGAACCATGCTGATCCAGATCCATTTCCTCTGAACAGAGCCTGGGGCGGGGGTCAAAGGCTGGTGTCAGACCTGCCTCAGTTGGGCTGGGGGGCATGCAGGGGGAGCAGGTGGGTTTTGCACCTCAAGTGTCCATTCCGGCTGCGGTCCCAACAGGTCTCCTTCCTCATCTTCTCCCCACTGGCCATGCCATGTTAATATTTCTTCTGTGTGGCTCTGTCCCGACTCCCCATTCAAATCTCAGAGGCCCCCACTGATGATCCCCTCAACCTGCTTGTCTTTTCTCCTCCCAACTCCTGCAGCAGCACCTGTTTCTTGCTTTCCTTTTTGTACTTGAACCATATACTTTGGGTACCAGCCCCAAAATAGTTTTATTGATTTTCCAATCATTTACATAACTGTGTAATTTGGGGACTTTACCCCTTCATTCGTGCACAAGTGCCACTTACGCTCCAGCAAAGCTTCTGGGTTGATGTCCCAGCCCCTTCCTCTCCTGCCATGCTCACACCCCCTCTCGTAGCTACTCTTTTTCACAGCCTTATTGTTGCTGTTTGGCACCTTTCTTTTGAATCATATACTTTGTGTTTGCTTCAGCTTCAGCATTTAATAAATGATTTTATATTTAGAAATTACTCCTCTCTGAACTATTTCTAATAATTCTTGACACGCTGTGTGACATACACTGGATTGATCATGTTTATGGGTTGCGTCTTTAAATCCTCACCACAGACCTAGCAGGCAGATAAAACTACCCATCTCACTCGAAGGCTCCAAATGAGTGTTCAGGGCCCACACCAGGTGCGGTGACGCCCACTGCCCCGCAAGTCCTCCAGGGCAGGGTCTGCCTCCTTTTTCACAGACCCCCCGGCCCCCACGCTGCACATCGCAGGTGCTCAGTCACGCGTGAGGGCTGAATCCCGAGCGGCTGAGGGAGGAAATGACGCAGAAGAGACCTTCTGCCCAGAGCTCCCAGGAGCCCCCGCGCTGGCGCCCGTGGTGGGCGGGGCCGCGGAGCTGACCCCCCTCATGCCCCCCCCCCGCCTTCGCTTGGTCCTGCCCTGTGTCCCAGGGAAGTGGGGGGCTAGGATTTGCGTGGACCCAGGGCCCGGGGCTCCTGCTCCTAACTCTGAACAGCCCTTTACTGGCAGAGGTGACAGCGTGGGTGGCGGCAGGTGCGGCAACGCCATGGTGACCGCAGGGGGGCGCTCTCGGCGGTGGCAGCGTCCTCAGAACCGACAGGACTGGACGGGCATGTCACCCTGAACACCTGCCCAGGGAGGGCGCCTGGGCTGGCGGACAGGGGCGCTCCAGGGGGAAGGGCTCATCCTTACACCCCAGGCCCCTCCTCCCTCCCCCGCCCATATTCTGGGGATTCTTTCAGACTCCCAGGCCCGCGGATTCCGGAAAGGGGTTACCCACATGCCTGGTGATGCCACAGTCTCTCACAATGGTCCCATTTCTGGCTTCGCTGGTGTGGAGAGACTAAAGAGGTGCTGCTGCCCGCTGGGTGGGCTTTGGCTGCACCACAAAACAGCCTTAAAATGTCCGTCAGAGCCCCCACTTCCCCTGGGCCTCAGGCCTGGTCCTGCCCACTATATCCTGCCCACTCTGGACTCTCCCTGGTAGCGCACTCACCCTCTGGCGAGCAGATGCTGGGCAGGTGGAAGGTCGCAATCTTCCTGTCCACGGGGTTGCTGACCACACAGTTGAGGCTGGTGTTGGTCTGGGGCAGGGGCAGGGGCAGGGGCAGGCTTATATTCCAGGAGTTGGATACCAGTCCCAGTGGCTCACTCTGCTCCAGCTCCCTGGGGAGCTCCCAGGCCACTGCCAGGTGCTCTTTGTCCCCGGGGACCTCACACTCCATGCTGACATTGCACCAGCCTGATGTGTGGGATGATGAATGGATCTGAATCTGGGTTTGGGGGACAGGCTCTGGGAGGAACAAAAGAGAAATTGAGCTTCAGAAGGGAAACCTGTGACAATCACCTGCTCTCCCCTATGTGACCCAGCTGTGCGAGGTTGTGGGGAAGGAAACTACACCCCCACCAGGGGTTCTCCCTCCCAGCCCAGAGGCAGAGGGCTAAGACCCCGCTTGCTCAGTCATGTCTAGATAGTAAATAATCTTGATGATATGACATACTTATATATGACAAGCATATAAATTATAATGTAGGTACTAAACACAACACAGAAGGGGCTGAGAATAGATGGTGAAAATTAAAATTCATGTTTTGAAATTTGATTTGAAA